TAGTTCTTCATTTCCGTTTAAGAAAATATTCAGCTATCGTCGGTTGGTAACGTACTGCACGTTTGATATAACAATATGATGTTAATCCTTCACTAAATGTACATTTTTTACACTTCTTGTACAGTGACGCCAATCTCTCAAAGAGTAATAAAATTCATGAAACTTAACACAGGTATTTCAATACTCGATGGGTAATAATCATATAATAATTAGTAATGTAAGAAAGAAGTATGCAGATAATGTCGTATACATAATTAAAAAAGAGTTTAAAAGCATTGAATAATATCATTGACAGCACTAACAAACTATGTTGAATATTACCGTAAGCTGGTATGAAAGGATGAACCAAAGTTAAGAAATTGTTCCTAGCAAAACAGCAAATGATGTTTCACTCAGAATTTGCAAAATAGTATGTAAACTTTGGTATATAAAATTGGGTACGTGCAATCTGATCGGATGAGACCAAGAAAAGTTTGCATCGGGTGGGAAATAATTGATATAAAATAGAGAGAACGAGAAATTAACTCATCATTCAAATTCAGCGGACAAAACGTAATGGTATAGGACTGCGAGACTGCTTTTGGTGTAGATTTAATTCATAAATGGAAAAATGATAGCAAAAGACTATATTCGTGTTTTAAACAATTCTTTTATTGGAAGTATAGAGAAATTAGGACTAATGATAACGGATGTCATTTTCCAGTACAATAATGATCCTGAGGTACTTAATGTTCTAAAATGGTCTCCCCGGTTATCAGACTTAAAGATTTACATACCTTCAGCTGGTGGAGAAATACAAGGGTGTTTAGGAATTTTTGTATATAAATTATTGTAATAAGTTCAATATATCAATGTCATTTTTGTAGTATTATAACGCGTCTAATGTTTGTATCTATACTAAGATAATGGGACCAAGTCCCATGGACGTCCGACAACGGACGTCGAACGTTTGGACGTAAACTGGACATAAAATGGACGTCCATGGGACGTCCGGTGATATCTGGGATTTGCATGATTTATAAATCTTGCTGGTGAGCCTTTGTCGGGAAATAAATTCATGGTATCAAATATAAATTTGCAATAAATACACAAATGTTAAGAGTCCTCTACCTCATCTACGTGTAGTAGGAATCTTTCTCAAAATAGTTTTAAAGTATCTTTCCGATCGAAGCGTGCGAACGATGATCTTTGGCCTTTATAGAGATATTGGGATTTTCGACAAAATTATTTTAATGAGAGAGTGCCGTCACTATGAACCGCGTGAAAGTTGGAGAGAGTCGAATTCGGTGTGATATTCATACACTTATACTACCATTTTATATGAAATTGCAATTTAATATTCGTCGCATATTCAAAATAATCGAATCGACTTTCGAAGAAACGGGATACGACTTTTATAGTTATGTTGCCGTGTCAATCGTCATCTACGATATTTATCAAAGCAAAACTTTCATTGTGAATAAGATGAATAAGAAATGAACACGAGTTCGCTTCGAACCACCGTTATGGTAGAATGTGTTTACATACGTAGCGCGAGTGCCGAGGCTGACAAAATTTAGAACCTATTCGTTGCATACTCGTGGTGAAATATAAAGTGAAAACCAAATCAATCAGTGTATGTAGTTTATGACTAACCATCACAATCCACCCTCGAAGATGCTCTCTGAGTACAGAGACCACTCTTCTAAAAACAACGCGGAAACGACTACATCCGAGAAAAATCTACCGACACCAGAATCAAATCGTAAATCATACGCTTCAATGGTAACAAGTGACACGTTTCCAAAGAAAGAGCAAGCCATAGTAATAGATTCGATCGAGGGTGCGTCAATCAAAGATTACGCTAATGCTATTATTAAAATAATTAATCCAAGCTCTCTTCAATTCATCTCACGCATCTCAAACAACAGAGTTTGTATATACCTCGATTGTAAAGACACAGTAACAAAATTAGTAAACCACAGAAATATCACCATCAATAACAACCGTATGGAGATCAGACCACTCAACGCATAATTTTATCAAACGTATCTCCATCGATCCCCCCCGATAATATAGAAGAGATTTTCAAACAAAACAATATCAGAACAACATCGAAAATGTCGTATCTTAGAGCCGGATTCCAAGAACCTGGTCTTACGCATGTTTTAAGTTTCAGAAGACAGATTTTGATGAAGATACAAAAAAATACCAGAATCATTTATAGTTTCACACGAAGACAGTCAGTACAGAATATTCACATCTACCGACAAATTAAACTGTACAAGAAGGCCATATAGTTAGATACTGCCCCAAAGCTGAACGCGCAGCAGACAGTTTACCCATTGACGAAGAGTCAAGTAACAATAGAAATACGAAACAACTCGTAAACGTTCCCGTCCCCACCACAGAATCTCACGCAGAAGTCTCCAAACACATGAAGATCCCAAACCGACACATAAGAGGACGGCCCCTTCATCAACGACAAGTTCAGCTGATTACAGTGAAACCCACAACAATACTCATCAAGCAACCACGGACACACCTGTTACGCTAAATTCTATTATTGGCACAAGCACATCAGTAAAAACTCCTTATAAATGCAGAAAAACTACCACAACTTCGATTGAAAAATTAAATGTCATGTTAGAGCCAGCAAACTCCAGAATCAATGACCCGCGGTCAGATTTCCCACTAAATCGCATCTAGCTAATAAGCTTTTTGGAAAATGCATTTGGAAGCAGTAACCCCACCGAAATAGCGCTCGAATACACACAGGACATACCAGCACTAATCAAAATGCTCTTTGAAATCTATCCTCTCCTAAAAGAAAGAAGCATCAAAAATAGAATCCATAGACTCTCTAAAAAATTAAAAAACGACTTTCCAGACATATCATTGACACCTTATATCTCTCTACCAACACAACACCAGCATCAACTGATTGTGAGTCAGAAAATGAACCCAAAGAACCACCTTCCATCCTTCATACACAAATCACAGTGTAAATAATTTCTAACACTATCCAACTATGGCGATTACAATCCTGCAGTGGAATCTAAATGGTTTTTTTCCACGCCTACCACAACTACAAATACTAATTAATGAATACCAACCAGATACCATTAACCTCCAAGAAACAAATTTTAAACCCCAACAATCAATAAAACTCAAGAACTACAAATAATACGTCAAAAATCGTAATACCCGAACGGCAAGCGGAGGAGTCACAACATACATAAAAGAACACTATTTCAGCGAACTACTACATATAGAGAGCAACATGGAAGTTATAATAACAAGAATTCATACTTCTCCAAATATTAACATTTGTAATATATACATTCCAAACAGTTACCCACTAAACGAAACTGAATTGAGCAATTTAATAGACAAATTACCCAAACCTTATATTATAACAGGTGATTTTAACAGCCATAACAGCATATGGGGATCTGAAAGAACGGATTCAAGAGGAAAGATCATTGAAAATATATTATTAAATCACAACATCTTTCTGTCCTAAATGATTCCAATCCAACACACTTTAACCCTGCCAGTGGATCTTTTAGCACCATAGATTAAATACTCAGCAGCTCCAGTATAGCATGCAATAATGAATGCGAAACAAGCACAGATTTATATGACAGGGATCACTTTCCAATCATAACAAAAGTATTCCCCAATCGTACACAAAATCTCCAAGTCTCATACCCACGATGGAAATTTGAACTAGCCAACTGCGATAAATACAGCCACTCAGTTAATTCATCCATTTCTGAACTTGCTCAACCGTCTCACAACAATGCTCAGCAAATTAATAACCTATTAGAGAAATTTATTTCTCTTATAAAAAATGCCGCTGATTCCTCAATCCCCATGTCCAAACCTCAAACGACCACAAAAAACCGCTCAGTGCCATGGTGGAACAAAACCTGTGAAAGGGCAATCAAAAATACCAAACGAGCATTTAACACTTACAAACGACACAAGACCATAGAAAACCTAATTGCATTCAAAAAATTTAGAGCAGAATCGAGGAAAATAATAAGAGAAGCCAAAAAAAAGTCCTGGCTTGACTTCGTAGCCACACTAAATAACTCCACGCCTACGAAAATAATATGGAACAAACTAAAAGCTATACAAGGAAACTCTCACAAAAACATCATAAGTCTCCTAATTAAACCGGACAACTCAACCACTACGGACCGCATGGAAATCTCAAATATACTCGCCGAAACCTTTGCCAAAAACTCTAGCAACGAAAACTACAGCAAAGAATTTTTAAACTACAGAAAGTCTATGATTAACCACTCATTCTTGAACTATCCAAAAATGAAAAATGATAATGATAAATCTCCCTTTTAAAGAAAACGAATTAAAAGACGTCCTTGCAAAGTATAAAAATACTAGCCCAGGTCCTGATGGAATTCCAAACAAGCTCTTGATCAATCTCCCCCCCCAGTGGATTAAAATATCTATTAATGCTGTACAACTGCATCTGGGAAAACAATGTATTCCCAGAATCATGGAATAATGCAACGGTCATCCCCATTCTCAAGCCTGGGGAAAACCCCTTAATGCCAGAAAATTACCGGCCAATATCTCTGACGAACAACATGTGTAAGGCAATGGAAAAGCTCATTAATAATAGACTTCGCTGGACCCTCGAAACCAATAACTTTTTATCCCCATATCAAAGCGGATTCAGACATTTCCATTCCACATTAGACCAGTTAATTAATATAGAAGCTAGCATATGTGTCGGCTATGTATCCAACCAACATACAGTAATGGTAGCTCTAGATATAGAAAAAGCTTACGATATGGTAGACAGACAGTGAATACTATCGATCCTCAAGGACATGGGCTTTCGAGGAAATATCCTACTGTTCCTAGAAAATTTCTTAAAGACAAAGTGGATAAGAGTGGGGTCCAACAACACCCTATCAGTAACCACTGAAATCCATAACGGAGTTCCGCAGGGATCAGTCTTAAGCGTGACACTCTTTTTAGTAGCAATGAATGAAGTTATGTCTCTGATACCCCCTCCAGCCAAAGGCTTTCTTTTTGCCGACGATCTAACCATAATCTGTAAAGGAAGAAATACAGATACGATACAGGAAATTCTCCAACAGATCATAAACAAATTATACGACTGGTCAAATAGGTCAGGTTTCAAGTTTTCTCAAATTAAATCTGAAATAATGATCTTCTCCAGACAGGAGAAACAGACCCACTTAAAATTATACCTAGGTGACTCTGAACTTAAAAAAACAAATAATGTAAAAATTCTTGGTCTAACCTTCGACTCAAAACTATCATGGAAAACTCATATAACGAAACTAAAAGGGGAATGCGTTTTCCGTCTGGACATTCTAAAAATAATAGCAGCAAACAATTGTGGAGCAGACCAAGTAACCCTGAAAAATACCTATCAGGCACTTATCAGGTCCAAACTCGATTACGGGGCAATCATTTACGGATGTGTGAGTCATTCATGCCTTAAAATCCTGGACCCAGTACATAACGCAGCACTAAGGACAATCGTTGGAGCGTTCAGAACTAATCCTATTCTAAGTATCCTAAAAGAAATCAATGACCCCCCACTTTCTACCAGAAGACAAATTCTCAGCGCTGGACAAGCGATAAAAACCTCAACCATACTCAACAAATCTGCTTATCTGAATACGTTCTCAAAACGAAGTAACGAAAAATACCTCCAGCACTGCAACTACCCAAAACCATTCTACTGTCGAATATACAATATAGAGCAGAAACTTGACATCCAATTCTCCAACACAGACTGCAGAAGACTACCAAAAATTCCACCATGGACAATACCACCTATTGAGACGGATATAACCCTTAACGCTTATGCAAAATATGACACTCATCGTGACATTTTCATCTCCCTAACCAATGAACTTTTAAATAGATACATGGATTTCACCCACATCTACACTGATGGTTCAAAAAATGTATCAAGTACAGGATATGCAGTTGTCACCCCCCAATCTGTAACAAGAATCAAACTCCCGGACACAACATCTGTGTTCACTGCAGAACTAATGGCCATTACACACGCACTGACTTTAGCCGAAAAAGAGAACTACTTAAATATAGCCATTCTGTCAGATTCTAAAAGTGCTATAGCATCAATCAATAATACAGCCTCCACGAACGAGACCAACCTACAAATATTAGAAATTCACGCAGAACTAACAAATAACGGAAATAAAATTGTAATAATATGGATCCCTTCCTATATTGGAATCCCAGGAAATGAAAGGGCCGATCAAGCTGCAAAAGAGGCTGCCGCCGACTTAGCCCCAAACACACTGACCCGCTTCCACCACAAGGACCTATTAAATTGTAGTAAAAGAAAACTATTAACAAAGTGGGAAAGAAAATGGTTCAACACTGCACCCACCTACATAAAAAACCTCACCGACAACTCATTTCAAACAAGAAGAGACCCCGAGAAAAGATCAGGTGCAGAACAAGTAATAATATCGAGGCTCAGAATTGGACACACAAAAATCACCCATTCGTACCGATTATCAAAGGAACCAGTACACCCACCTGTACTGATTGTAACACAATAATTTCAGTCGAACACATTTTGCTCTATTGTTCTAAATACAGAAGATACCGCAAACTAAACAAAATTAGACCGACATTAAGAGAAAACTTCGAACCAGCTAACTTAGACAATCTCATTAAATTTCTAAAGGATAGTAACTTTGTCACGGTAACGCGGTTCGGTAGCGGTCGAATTGCCGCGAAGGGTTGCGCCGGCTCAGCCGGTCGCCGGGGTTCGCTAAGTATAATATGGAGGTAGTCGTAGGAGTAGGGCCGAGCCCTCGCCGCAGGGGGGGGGGATTCTAGATCGCGATTCTAAGGGTATACGAACCCTTGCACAAGAATTCGGCGGGTAGTCGGACTGCGGGAAGTAGACTGCTAGAGGGAGGTGCCCAAGGGAGGTCGAGTCGGCAGCGCGAGCACACCTCTTCTTCCCGGGCGAGTGGCCGTGGAGGCCCGAAGACGGCAGTCGGTGCAGACACGTCTTTCGGCGACCAGGGATGTCCCACGCCTCGAGGCCGGAAGCCTCTGAGAGGGGACGAAGGGATAGACGGAGTTGACCGCGTTCTCAGAGGGATCTCGTGGTGGTTCTCTTTGACTGGGCTCCGTTGGCGGAATATATGCCGGGAATACAATAAAATGAAATGAGAGCGTTTGAACGGCAAATCGGTATATTAACGCTTGGTGCGTACAGTACTGCTCGTTCAGGCGTTCTGCTTTTGGAGCGTCGCGGTTTCGGTACTTATGCGCGACGCTCCCCACCTTTGGTTGTGAGAGAGCGCCGCGCTCTACAGTGACACTTGGTCCCAGCCTAGCGGCACTCGGTGACATTATATTTGGGGGGGGGGGCCGAATAAGGATCAAGCGTGGACGGCGCGAGCGCGAGAGAAGAGGGTCGCGGCTATTATTCGCGTCACAACTTAATAAACAAAATGCAATAGTACTCAGTGTAGTCGCTAATAACCTAAGTTGTTGATGCGGCGTTAAATCTTTAATAAAAAAAAAAGAAATGAAGTTTTGTAGATTTCAAAAAGTATTCAACATTTGCTCAGCTTTAGACGTTGTTTATATCGGGTTTGATTTCGTACAACAAATCAGTGGTTACAAGTGAGGATGGATATAAAATTCTTATCTAAAGAGAAATTTTTGTTAAGGATTTATTCAAACTTCTTGAGAATTGTTTCGGGATTTACTTCAATAAAGAAAGTGCACGAGTTAACTTGAATAACGAGTCTTAGAAATACTTTATTAGGAGTATATCGTTCACTACATTACGTTACTTTCGTTACTAACCGTAAAACGGTAGGAGTAGATACTACATTTCATGTAAATAATACATTTTATTTGCATATTCGTCATAAACAAATTAATGGTAATTAAAAATGTAAACAAAATCGAAATTATTAATTTATAATTATAAAAAAAACAGTTTCTCATTTCCTGGTAGACTATTACATATATATAACGTAACCTCAAAACAAAAGTTTTAATATTTAACGCAAGTGTGATATTTCTGAAAACACTGTCCAAGATGTAAAGGTACTAAGCATTCAGCACACATAAAGCGCTCTCGCTTCTTTTTTTACCAGCAGCGCAAACTCTACATGGGCGTCATACGTATCGGTTTTTTGTCCCTGATCCCAAACTTCTGGTAACTTTATGTTTCTTCATATCACCCGAAAGTCTCTGGGGGCTATCAAATTTTGGTGTGCGAGGTGTAGGAACAAGTACGGTACTTGAAGTATCAGAATGCAAAGTACAAGGAGTATGAATTAAGTCTTGAGCATTTGCGGATTCCTCGATCCAGGAACGTCAAACAGTATATAAAAATCGTTTATATCTTATAATGTTACCGTTTAATTCAGTATATAATCTAAATGCATTAAACATTGCGCAGTTTAAAAGAAACAACACTGTCTTCTTTGTCCACTTCACAGTTTTTCTCATGATGGAATAATATGATAAATATTGATCTGCCAAATCCACACCCATCATATATTTATTATACTCTGTGACGGAATGCGGTTTTATGATTTCTTGTTTCGTTTTCCAGTGTGTTTTATTTGTTTTCATTAATTCTGCCGAATGTATCGTGGAAATCATGTATACCACCTTTTGTTTCGGCTTCCACGCCTGTACCAAAACTTCATCCTTTCTTTTCCATCTATATTCTCCAGTTTTCCATTTGAGATGCCGTAAAGACTCGGGAACACCCCTATTTTGTCTAATTGTACCAAAAACTCGTGTACCATTTTTCATAAGCAATTCTGAGATTTTGATGCTATTATAATAATTGTCCATGTATACGTGGTGTCCCAAACTTATATTTTTATCTAGTAATGACATAATTGTCTGGTCCAATTTTTTACCTTCCGCAGAGTATATCTCCATGTTGCAAACATATCCGGTCCTTGCTTCGCATAGCATACGGCAAAGTAGACCGTACTTTATTATCTTTGCCGGATTGTATGTTTTTAAAGATAATTTTCTACGCCACTGAATAATGGATTCATCAAGCGAAAGTTCTTTCCTAGGCGTATATACCGATTTGAATTTATCTAATAAATAGCTCAGAATGGGCTGAATCTTCTCAAGTTTATGAGCACCAGTTATTGTTTCGTTGTTTGAAAAATGCCACGTCCTCCAAATCTGGCGAAACCTATTCCGTGACATTATAACGGCGAAGGATGGGGTTCTCGTATAAAAATCGGAGCATCAGTACTCATCTTTTATATCCTTCTTTACCTGGCCCATCATTATAATTAGACCCAGAAATTTTTTCATCTCCGCTAGAGTGATATCACGCCACTTTGACATTTTACTCGTTTCACTCATATTGTCCTTATTTTGCAGGTAATAGATATTTGATTCATTGATCATTAATTCAAACAAATCATTGCCAAAAAATAATTCGACGACTTCTTTGATGCTTTTCTTATCAGTTGGAAAAATCTTTTGGCCAGGCTCACCAGTAAAATCTGGTATGTTGGGAATTTCATCAACATCTGACCATACTTCTCTGTAATTATGCGATTTTGGGGGCATTTCACAATCAGTGGAATTATCGGAATCATCGGGATCGCTTGAATCCTGTAGTGGAACAGCTCTTGATCGTCTTCTTGGACCCACATCACTATCGCTATCCTCGATTATCTCATCAGAATCTTCTGAATGTATGGAACAATCCGATAGAGAGTCAGCAATATGCTCAGCAAAAACTTCACTCATATTATATGGGTAAAATGTCACAAAAGAAAAAAACTTGTTATACTGTTCAACCAGAAACAGAAGCGTACGACTGGTGTATTGCTTGTGGAACACACTGCTCGAGAGTGATGCTTGCCTGGACTGTTTCTGAACAGTTGTGCACGTTTTGTCTTTACAGTATAACAAATAAAGATCGGCGTAGTCATGGCAACTAAATACGAATCGATATGTAAGACACTCATATCAGCAAAAGAACATTCACACATCGTGCAACAATCCGCGGTATCGTGGGGCTGGCGCTCAAACACAAGAGTCGGAAATCCGCGTTTTCGCGGAGCCGGCGCTCAACCGCAAGACTCCGAAACCCGCATTTTCGCGGGGCCGGCTGTCAATGTGTTAACGCTTTTGTTAAAAAGTCCGCAAGCTGAAGATAATTTTTGTCCGTTTTATGTCCGTTGGCACATATTTAACATTTATTCCATCGCTTTCCACAACTTCTCTGACATAATGATATTTTATATCGATATGTTTAATGCGCTTATGAAATTCTGCATTCTTAATTAGCCTAATGGCACTTTGATTGTCTATTGACAGAACTGTGGGAGCATCACTTAAACAACCCAAGCAGGATAGTTTCCCCACTACTTGGCCGAAACTCACTATAAAAGACTTCAAAAAAGTAAAAAAATTACGCCAAGTACATGAAAAAGTGAAGGGCTCCAGGTGTTATCATTGAAAAATAGAAGATCCCCATAAAAAAACTACAAGAAAATAGAAAAAAATGTGAAATCGAAATAAGTTGCCAGATGATTTGCCTAGATTTCCGCGGCCTGCAAGTCAAATGCTTGGCGTGGCCAGGCAAGGTCAAGGTATCGATGAATAAGAATTATTTTAAAACGCAAAATAATGAAAGTGTACTCATATTGTCAAAGTTTTAAACTGATAAATTACCTAAAAGTCTGTGAGAGAGAAAGTATAGGTATTGATGATCTAAGAATGCCTTGCCTGGCCACGCCAAGCATTTGACTTCCAGGCCGCGGAAATCTAGGCAAATCATATAGCAGCTTATTTCGATTTCACATCTTTTTCTATTTTCTTGTAGTTTTTTATGGGGATCTTCTATTTTTCAATGATAACACCATGAGCCTTCCACTTTTTCATGTACTTGGCGTAATTTTTTTACTTTTTTGAAGTCTTTAATCGGATATCACTTCTTTTTACAAATAATTTATTATATAGAATCTATTTTAAATTTATAAAAATAAAATTGATATTTCTGTAAACTCTACATAAGAAGTCTAAATTATTATTTGTTTCTTTAATTGAATAGAGTAAAATGAAGGGAGAGGGGATAACAAAAACGAATATAGTGGGGCGGTCGGAAACGGTATTCAAAAGTGGTACGAGATCCTGCGTCCGTAGTGGTCAGCCCACGTTAAATTGGAGTCTGGTATGGTCTGACCACGTACGGGTGCAGGCCCTCGCTCCGCTTCTGAATGCCGGCCCACTTGCTACTCTTTCAAATCTGCTCTGACTTGACAATGAAAGCGTGATTCAAAAAATCTGATTTTTTGGGGATCTGTTAATAAAGCATTCGCGCGTCCGAATCCGCGAACGGCGTTGACGTGGGGTTACTCGTTCACCCTGCAGATGGGCCTGAAGTTGGAAGCGAGTTTTTAAAAAAATCGACAATTTCGTATTTTATTGCCATTCACGCGAAAAAAAGACATCAAAACTGTGTCGCCTCAATGCCTTGGACCGTACCACATGTGTTCCACGCAATGAAACATCGTTCCAACCCTTACACTTTGGGGTG